TCTAAATGTCGCTGAATCTTTAAGAAGAAAGAGACATTAAATATTATTTTATAAAATATTTATAATACAAGGTGACATATTTCTCAACAATTAGGCATTTATTTTACTCAAATTCGTACAGTAGTTTTAAACAGCTTCCAAAATGCAAAACGAACTTAAAAATTTTACGTAATTTTGGCGTTTAAAAATTAACGGTTGGACTAGTTTAGTTTAAACTTTCAGATCAGTTCAAGTTCTCTATAGTCTTCACAAATTTGTGCAAAAAAGCGGACAAGATTGTCGCAGACGTCATTTGTGAACCTTAAGCTTAGCCGACATCATCACACAAGGCAGGTTTGACATAATATTAAGAATTATGTCCCCTTAATGATGAATAAATATCTGGTTAACCATTAACTTCTAAGTATTGATCGTTAACTTAAGACTGTTATTTTTTTAAAACCTACCCTCCACCTAGGTTGTATGATATGTACATGTCAGTATCTTCTACTTTGTGAAGAAAATATGTGAAAAATGGAAGATTTTTTGTCACATACCCACTCTTTAAGTCGGTCGTGGTCTGCTGCGCCCCAACCTGTTGCCGAAAGTCACGATGTTAAACAAATGAAATTCTGTACCGAAATATATATAGTTTATATAAATATGCTTCACAATGTGTTAAGTACAATCACAATTCAGAATATATGCAAAATATAAAGCAACAATCTTTATAAGCCGATTGAGAGAATGTTAGCTATAGTTAAAAACCGATATAAAGACTTTCATGAATTTCATAGAAGATTGAAAATAAAGAATTCGATTCGAGTTTGATAAGTATCGTCGTTTCCTGTTGACCGGTGTACAGGTGTGTCTGATCAAGTTAAATCACTAGGTCATGAAATATTGGAGTGATAAAATCATTTTCCTAGGGGTTATTAGACTAGCCTGAACATTAATTTTAATTACAACTAGGACTGTGAACAGCTCCGATTGTGGCAACGAAACCCTATCCCATGGCTTTTGAACCTTTTGAACCTTTTGAGACTTCTAGCCTGTTAACTTTCAACGCTTTTTAGCCTACAATTTTGAGTAAGGCATTAAAGCTTTCGGGTATCTGATAAATAAATCAATTAAATAAGGAAATGTTAAAGAAATAACTTTATGAGATTAAACACAGCGTACCATTGAACCAGTGAACATGAAATTAAAACTCTAAAATCTGGATAAATTGAACGAAATAACGAAATGAAAAAATTCATAGTAATTATTACTATTCTAATTATTGGTAATTTATGTTTATAACCATATATCAATGATATTGTCTCTCCGTTTTAAGCACATTTCCATAAGGGATAATTCCAATCTTGAGCCACCCGTCATTGGGTCTTATTTTCTTTCCCGTTTGGGCTACTGATCGTGAAAAACAAAACGGAAAGCAGATGCTAATTAATATATTGCATAAGAAAAACATATTTTTCTTTTTTTTTTATCTATAGTGGCTCAACCACCATAAGAACTGGTTGAATCAAGTCCTCTGGTCCCACCCCAGACAAAATGTAACCGTAAACATACCGTAATATAATACCGTAATACCGTAAACATACCTTAATATAATACCGTAATACCGTAAACATACAATATAATTTAAGTGGTTCACAACTAATGCTGGAGCCCTGCTAAGGGCAATATTATAACTGTTCAGTCATCTCGTCGACAACCTTCAGACGACTCGTTTTCAAGACAAACGACGACTCAAATGTAACAAATGTTACTCAAATAAAATTATTATTTCAGTTTTGTTGTAGTGAGTTCGAATTTACTGCCTTTTTTTTCTTTATTTACAAAAATAATATGATTTGTGTCGCCCAATCTTTAGAAACTGTAATAGTTGCAGCAACATTTGCATAAGATCTACATTTGTGGCTAATTACTGAATGAATAAAAATCGGAGTTTTTTTCAACTAGTAGAAAACCGGCATGCAAGTAATTATATAATAAAACATGGTGCTCACTACTTAAAACTTATATTTAGCCTTTTTGCATAGTTTTCTGGAAACTTAAGTTGAAGGGTCTTGTCTTAAAGAGAAGGTGTACTTTACTGATTTTGAATCAACAATCGAGCATCAATCATGCATGGAATATAGTATATATTTTGCACCATATATTAATTGCATATCTTTACTGAACATTTAGCTGAATACATTCAAGTATGTTCTATATAAAATTAAATAGTTAATTACTGAATAGCACATTTATTTATTTCGGGGTTAAGATTAGTATGATGGTGTGTATTTCAACCGGATCGTGTTACCTAAACCTTTGGTAACCAAATTTTGAATTCGACTTTTTAAAATTTACGGTTAAATATTTTGATAATTCGTGACAAAAACCTTAAAATTTAACGTCTTTGACCAAACCTGTATTTATTGAGATGAGGCAATCGTTTAAGTTTAAAAGACACCTGAAATTGACAGTTTAAATCTTTAGACTTTCTCGGTTGAAAAGAGTGTTCACGAGGTATTTTTTTCAATCTATTAACTCCAATAAGGCCAAAAATAGGATCTTTATTCAATTTGAGGCTATTTATTTTGTACCGGTGGCATAAACGAAAAATTCTTTCTCATTCAGAACACCTGTTGTCACTTGCACATATTTCAATAGGTCTTGTCATCGTTAAATTCAAATCTTTTAATCTAACATCAAGTTTGCTTCAGATGTTATTCATTAAATTTACACAGTCGGCTGAGTCATTGAAATTAATATAAATTTCTTACAGCAGATTGCAAACATTATATTAAGTAGTGAAATTTTGAAAAAAAATGGCCGACACCTATGTCATTCTATGCAACTTTTCAGGATATAGGAGATACATACGATTGTATTGTTTCAGCTTTTATATTGAAGGGAATTTAAAATATATCAATTGTAAGGCATTCTTAGAATATCTAAATACTGGTAATGTCCACCGAATCAATAGAACCAAAATTAGCTATTTTGTTTCAGGATAACACCAACTTTACATATGATTAAACCTCATTTGAAATAAGGGGAACCGAGCGATAAACAAATGAAAAGCTGAATAGAATCACCCTCAGAAACCTTTTTATACAAATAAGCAAAACAGGAATTAAATTTCATGGCAAGATTCGTTCATCTAAAGCCAAACCGAATCGAAATACATTTTGTAGAATGTCATAAGACTGTCGGTTTTGAAACCTAAAGAACGTTATTTCATCATTACATTACAACTCAGTCGCCCATTAACTTATACAGTGTCCAAACTGCCCGTTTACTTCGTAAAATTTCAAAAGGTTCGGTATTGATTGAATCAGACTTAAAACATACCTCAAATTAAATACATGTATATCATACCTGTTATTAAATCTATATGTATTTGAATAAATTATAACTTTCGTTTCCTTTTATTCCCAGTATTGGAATTTTCTCAATCGCCTTTTTATCCATCTTCACTTGAACATTAAAGTACATTGGTGACCGAAATTAGAACCGTTAAGTCATTTCTGTTTGGAAAAAGAGCGTTTTGCAACATTTTCTTGGAAAACTACAAGAGTATATATGCGGCACGTATAGTTTTAGCTGGGCGCAAGAAGAATTCGAAAAAAACCCCCAGAAAACAGAGCAGTGCAAATCAGTGAAAAAAAAAAAAAAATTTCGAAAACAAGTCGTGACAAATCGATTACGCAATAATAATAATAGTAATTTATTTGACAACAAATCCAGTTTGCACGAGGCAAATTTCCCTGGTATGTTTTCATGACATTTGAATTTAGGTTTGCGATCACATTTTATGCAATTCCTTACATTTTTAGTGCAATTTTAACACTATTTTTAAACCCTCTTGAGATATACATTTCAATAAAAATAAATTCAAATTAAAAAAATAAAATACGTGCAAGTGTTTTGGTGAAACTGGAATTGTTTCAAGTGATACACACGATCAAGTTATAAACAACAAAGTTCTTATTTGAAGTATATTGACTCTTCGTATTATTGCTCATGGATCGATGACCCTTGACCTGGTTAAAGTCCCGCACTCAAGTTTTATGGGTTCCACCAGCTGCTCATAACAGTCCCGCAGAAATTAATCAAATCTCTCCACAAAAAGAGGTGATTGGATGAAATTATGTTGGAATTGATTAACCATTAAGTCTTGATGAAGCGATTTGCCAGCGATCCGGGTGTAAAGAGAATCTTTTTTAATCCTCCATCTTGTGAAGAATTATTCAGCGTAGTAATATACGACCTCTTTAGAAAGGAGGGAGTGAGGTCTGATATAACCTTACTCCTAATTGTAATCAAATAACGTTTTCTACTGATAGCCAAATTAATTATACCCATGAATAATTTACACCAAACACGTGCACCATCAAAGTGCCTTTTCTAGTCAAGTATTTACTGTAAGAATGTAATGTAATACGGGTCAAGCATATATTTGATCTGTAGTGGGCGGAATTACCAGTATTTATCAGGGCACTAGCATTTTCTGTAGCAAGGGTATAGGAATTTGGAAGGTCTGTTTATTGTCGATTCTACCACCTCTTACCCCGATCCCGTAATATTACTGATCTTTGAAAACTGAAATGTGGTTAATAAAACTAATTAGAAAATGATTTTTCAATAAGATGAAAATTATTACTTAAATCTTTCTATGTTAAGTTTAGAGGACTGTACCTGTAATTTGTTTATATTGTTTATTTGTCAATTGAAACTTACAGAAATAACTGATCATTTTCCATGAAATATACTACTAGCCTATATTTCTTTTTATTTTTCAGATAGCCCGCAGCTGATGAAGGTAAATGGCCAAATAACTCATATCGATAATATTAAACACGTTACTGATGTATTCTTGCCATTTCAAAGACATTTTTTATGAATTAGGTGATGTTCATTAAGCTTATTGTGATGTGAAATTGACTCTCTATACTATATATGATTAGATTGTGCTGGTTCGGAATAAATTATATACAGTTTTATTAGGCGCATATCAAGTCGTGACAATGCCTGCCCACGTTGAAAATAATACCGCTAACACCATACGTGTGAAACTAGTGAAGCAAGAAAAGGGCGGACTTGGATTCCTGGTGAAACAGCGGACTAACAAACCATTAGTCGTGGTCGCCGATTTAGTGTCAGGTGGTATCGCTGAAGAAAGCGGATTGGTTCAAGTTGGTGATGTAATTTTACGCATCAATGATATAGATTTGACTGATATGAGCTACGACAGTTGTGTGGAAATTTTAAAAGCCGTGCCAATAGATGCGCCGGTCGTATTGTTACTCAGAGGACCCGACGGATACGTAACTCATTTGGAGACCACGTTTCAGGAAAATGGAATGCCCAAATCTGTGCGCGTTACAAAACCGGTAGATAATACAATAGTGGGACGAATCAGACGGACATTGGCTTCAACGCCATCTCCAATATCTTCTCCAGTCAGAACAATCAAACAACTGTGTATCAATACAGAAGATTCGAGCAATAAATCAAGTAAGAAGAAGAAAAGTCAGAACCAAGAAAACGGAGTTGTCGTTCCTGTTACAAATATAAATATAGACTCGAAACAGTGTGACGCAATAACACAAACCATAGAGCAATCTAAAACGCTAGTTAACGGCGATATCCATAAACGCAAGAAAAGCGAACATTTTGAAGAGACGGTTTTGGATAACGGATGCCAAGGTTCGCCGAAAATAATTCTATCAAGTCCTTCATTGGTCGGAAATAAAATCAAAAAGAACATCATGGAGTCAAATCATGAGAATTTAAAGGGGAAAAGCCCGTCGCGTCGTGCTATAGAAATAATCCAGGATAACGACGAGATCACTGTGGTGGTCACCGGAAACGTAAAAATTCAAAATAACATGGAATCGCAGTCGGTGGAAAATACCCCGAAACGTGTGGTCATAGGAGGTTCGACGACGAGAGAGATTGAAGGTTCCTGCAATTCCGAGCACCTGCATCAAAATGGAACGCTGTCAAAATCGGGTTTTAAAAATGACAACTCTGAGGATGATTTGAAGAAGCTGACGAATGACAAAAAGAAGAATGGATCGCTGGCAAATTCGCCCAGAAGATTGGGTGAACGGCGTACGTCAGCCACACCAAGTCCGAAGAAATACACCAAATTACGATACCTACTGGACAATAAAACAGATATGGACATTCTTCACCAACAAGCTACTGAAGTAGGTCTAGTTTAAATTAATTTGAAAAACAACATGTACATCCCAATGCCATTTGGTAGTCGTTTCCATCTGCATTCCATTCGGAATCTGCAATGCTAATAATCATCATAGGTATATTTATTACCCACAAAGACACAGTAGACAAGGTTTCTTTTAGACGCAATTCTTTTTGATAGCCTGTCCCATGTTCGCTCCACACATATCCATATCATGTGTACATAGACTTGGTTGTTCGCAATGCTAATAATGTTTATAGATATAATTAATATCCACCAACACATTGTGGATAAGGTTGTCACAGAGATCCTTCTCCAACGTGAGGCACTATACTCCGATTTGGGAAGGTTCACATAATTATATATTCGAACATGTGCATCATGTAATCATTAGATTATTCTGATTTCCTTCCTCAAAAAAATCATGCTGTGTAAATTGTTCATCGGCTGACTTTTCATCCTGTAAATTATCATTATTCATGATGATCGTAAGATCTGAGTTGAAATGAGTTCAACTACCAATCACATTTTTCATACTTGTTTCAGCCCGTACCTTGTACCACTGAACGATGTATGGGGTCATTGATGGATTTAGCCCCGAAACGGGCCCCTGGTGTTCCACGATCAAACGAGGAACTTGTAATGCATGCCAAGTCCTTTATTGAGAATTACTACGCCTCCATAAAGCGGTAAATATTTCCTTTATTCCACTGCCATATTTCCATAGCCTTTTTACGTTTTTATTTTCACATTAGTATGCTTCCATAAAAGACTACATCTCACATTCGACAATCGCCAGGACAAATGTGGTCCTACTCGTTGCTAGAAAATGATAAAAGGGATAAGATATCGGCACGTTGAGGTGACAACATCCCGTCCGTATGTCACATCCGGGAACGTGATTTTGAAATTTTTTAAAAATATCAACTTTGCAAAAGTTTATTAGATTAGCTATAGTGTATATTATTGCTAAGGAAATGATCACTCAAAATATTACGAAAATTGAGAAAATTTAAGATCCATTTCGCCAGTTTTTCTACTTTCTTGTAAATTTTCGCACAATTTCCAATTAGTAGATAAACGTATATGAAATTCTTTTTGATTGAAAAAAATTTGCAGTTTTACTTTAATTTCGGTTTCATTTCAACAGTGTGAATACCCCTTCTCATCAGAAACGTTGGCAAGAGATTACCACTGCTATCGAGAGCACAGGTACCTACGAATTAACAACTAGTGAATTGACGTTTGGTGCCAAAACTGCCTGGAGAAATGCTCCAAGATGTATTGGTAGGATTCAATGGACCAAACTGCAGGTACGTAGTGTTTCAAACGAACACCAAACCTTTTAACCATTGATGCCATTTTAATGAAATATCCAAACCAACGTGTCGTGTGTCCAAAAGACAGCTTTTTTTTCTTGTAAATCCAAAAGCTGGTGGGTTTACATCTAATATTCAAAGCATCGTCCAATATCAAAATATTTTCACTGTTAAAAAAGTGCTCAATACATCCATTGTAGAGGGATATAGAAGTACCTCTGTTAAAAAAGTGCTCAATACATCCATTGTAGAGCGATATAGAAATACCTCTGTTAAAAAAGTGCTCAATACACCAATTGTAGAGCGATATAGAAATACCGCTGTTACTCATAGTTTCAAGTTTGGATGGCCCGTATAAAGAATGGTGCTTAGGCGTTTTTACGATGCAAAGCTTAAACTTTTTCCACGCATGTTACTTTGTGTAGTTTTATTTGTGTAGCTTTTCTATCAAACGTTTTGTATAATGAAAAGCATCTAATGTAAAATTTTCTGCTTCGAAATAAACAGCATGCATTATGAACTAAATGCTCAATAAATTTCAGGTTTTTGACGCTCGACATATAACAACTGCTCGTGGTATGTTTGAAGCTATCTGTAACCATATAAAATATGGTACCAATAAAGGAAACATAAGGTAATGTACCAATAACATTAAATAAAGCATGGGTTTTGTGACCTAATTTTTTGCTCGACTAAAATGCAAATGTATGGAGAGTTTTGCTTCAAATTTCCATAGTATCCATTAATATGTGAACATTGGTTACAAAAGTTTACAGCAAAGCCCAATTCATTGTACTTATGAAGATCGGCTGGGATGGTCATTGAGTTATTGAATATTAGCAAGTAAAGGAAAGGATGGCTTGGGAAAACGTAGCGTGACAACCACATCAGATCTCTCTTTTTTCAATGTTCAATTTGGGGGGTATCAACTTTTTGACATGTTAAGTCGTTCTATTTAATCAGGCTATATTTTCTGATATGAAAAAGGTTGCAGAGAAAACCCAACAAATATCAAAAAATCTTATAAGATTTATAAGTGCAAGAGAGGTAATGCTATCTATCAAGGAACCTGAAAGAGGGTAATAGAGAGATAATTTTGAAAACCCATGCCCATGTCATTGGTTTGTAACAAGCACCCTCCCCTCCCTACCCCCACAAATTATCATTTTGTCTCTATTGAATTGAACTTATATTCTTAACAATCTTTCTGTACCTTTGGATCCAGTAGGGCTGCTTGAAATAATGTCATTCATAATCATTTTATAATTAACTGATAAAATAACAATGAGTCGAACAAAATCGCTCACTTCATTTCATGGACCACTGGCAAATAATTTAGTTCTGCAAAAAGTTAGAAATAACCAATATTAGCATATGATTTTTGATGAAAATGAAATGATTGGAGATTTATAGGGGTGAACATTCATCTTTTGTATGAAATACTCAACATATCATACTAAAGAAGGCAATTTTTTCATAGAAAAATAGTTTTCGAGCCATTTATGCTGAAAATAATGCCACATAGAGCATTTCGTTACAAATTCAAATTGAAATTAAAATTGCAGTAATTACTTTCGACATTTTATTTTTCGACAAGGAAGTTTAGAAAAACGGGAATTTCATAGCATTTTATTCTATGAAGGGATATTTTTTTGAAACTATGTCTGATATCTATCTATAATTATGAGGTTGATTTTATTACCAAAGCTTTGATACTATGCAAAATGTTACCGTTTTTTTCTATATTTCATTATAGATATCATTATAAATACATTGTATATCAAACGTTTAACGGTTGAGTTGACCCGTCCTGTTCATGATTGTATTGTACGATAATGTGCTTGTTCAATATTACAATGTCATTATATTACTACTATTGGGGTTGAAAAGAAGATTTTTAAATCTTTTATTTGTATCGTGAACACTGATAGCATCATTTTGTGCCATTCAAATTTTCAGTTTTGTGGCTCTTTCAATTCAACTACAAATTTTTAATTTATGACGTAGCTATTATAAAAGCTGAAAAATCCGATTGTCCGATATTAATGTCATAAATTATTGTATATCAATTTAATGATATATATCATACACTTGAACATTTCATTATAACAGGAACTATCAGACTGAAATCTTTAATATTGCAAATAGAAAATAATATATCTCCGATATACATGATATACCAAATATAGAAAACAACTTACATCCCCTTTCAGTCTTAGATCTTTTAAAAACACATAGACATGAATTCATTGTTTGTCTTTACTCTGATGTTCCAGTGGAAGATGAATCATAGGGGAATTCAGTGCATCCGGCATGTTCTGTTTTTTTTTTTATCTATACTGAAAAGAGAAATCCTCTGAAATTATGGCGCAAGGTTAGGCCCACATATATGATATATACCTCTGTATTTCTAACAAATTAAGGTTTATAGCTAATCGCTACATAACACAAATATTTATAATATAATTCATTAATATTGTTAATTAATTAACATAATACATATATAATGTATAAGTAAAGAACAGCTGTCGAATTCAGCTTTGCTATTGTCACATAAAAAAGTATAAAAAAAATTACCAATATTGAAAGAGAGAAAATTTACTATATGTTCAGTTCATTCTAATAAAACATATGAAAAACTTCTTAAATATATTCTTAATTTAAAATAAATATAACAAAGATCAAACAATCAAATATTTTATTGTGAAAACTTTCGTAAAATAATCGTTTTTGATGAATATTAATGCATGATATTATAATGATAAAAATATGGACATTGATAATAATATTTTGAGTTGAGGAATTTCGTAATATCAATCGTTTTTTGAGGAACAATTTTCCTTGTCAAGGGTACAAGTACTGAATTAAACAATTCTTGCAATGAATCTCAATAAAATAATGGAAATAATTAAACCAATATAAAAAGATTTCTATTCCCAGTAGATAGTTTATAATTTGTCATGAATTCATGCAAAACAGTCATCCCATTTCCAAAGTTTACCTTTTGTTTTAGATCGGCTATAACCATCTTTCCACAGAGAACAACCGCCAAGAAAGACTATAGAGTGTGGAATAAGCAGCTTATACAATATGCTGGCTTTAAAATGCCTGATGGTTCATTTATAGGCGACCCTGCGTCTGTGGAATTTACCGAGGTAAGGGTTCTTCTAGCATGACCACTCTTTTGGAAATCTGGTGGCCCTTTTTCAGTGGCGTATTTTGGGAGTGGACCAATAGATTATCGCCAGTGAAGGCTTTGATTTGTATAATTTTCTGTTTTATATCTATATAATGTAATCAGCAATGATAATATTAGCTAAATCAACTATAAAATTCCAATCCAAAATTCTATGCAATTTTCATCACATAATTTTATGATTTAATGCTTTTTTCAGGTCTGCATGAATATGGGTTGGAAACCAAAATACACCAATTTTGACGTTCTTCCTATTGTGCTATCAGCAGTTGGACATGATCCGGAATATTTTGAAGTTCCTCCAGAGCTGAATTTAGAAGTTCATATCAAACATCCAAAGTAAGTAAGACACTAATTCTCAAATTAGATAACTTCATAATGGATCGTAACAATAACTCAACTGTATGCTGTTCCCTTACCCTTAGTTTAGTCCAGAGTATCATTCATATGAAAATGATACACAGTTTTCCAGCTGTTCAGCCACAATAGCGCTGCGGTCCTTAATTTCTAGTTTGCTCTCCAATGGCTGGAGTGTTTATAATGAATTCGAAACACCATGCATCACATTACTAGATTATATTCTAGAGTTTTTCACATTTGCCAGACTCAGATTTTGCCATAAACATTCTTCTTTCACGTACTTCAAATAAAATCATAGAGGGCTTCACTGACATTGACTATCTACATTTATTGCCAATCTCTTAATTTGGGATTCGAATTTTCGTTTTGCTGTTCGAATCGTCAGTAGTTTTTGGTAAAAAAACAATTTATCAATGATATTTCAATTTGAATCTTTTAATACATTGTAGATATCCATGGTTTGAAGAACTGGGGTTGAAATGGTTCTCTCTACCAGCAGTATCATCCATGATGTTTGATTGTGGTGGATTGGAATTTACAGCCTGTCCATTTAACGGGTGGTATATGGGAACAGAAATTGGAGCCAGAGATTTCTGTGACAGCAATAGATATAATATCTTGGAGGTGAGATTTGATCAAAATTACTACAGTTCGACTTTCGTAGTTGTGCTTTTCACAACGTTTCGACCAAATACAAACTTAAATAAGAGTAAAGATGTTTTTGAAGGCTGACAATTAACAGAAGTAAATTCGGATTTCAAAAGTTTGTTGAAGGGTGTCCGTTGTTTGCGAGATGATAATAGTATTCTCAAACAAGCACTGGCCTGGGTAATGCTTTGCTGTGATAATGCTAATCAGACATTTAAATCAGAGTAGTAGGCGATAGGCAAGGGGGTCTTTGAAGTTCTACAAGGTCCCAATGAATGAATTTTAAATGGGACTGATATATGACCTTCTATAAAATCTAACCCAGCTGATCGCTATGTAGATTGAATTATACTGGAACTAATGATTCCAACAACTTGGACCATATGGGATCACTCCTTGTCAATTTTCATCTATTTCAGTATTTTTCGGTGTCATATATTTTATTATGATTGATTAGATCAATTGATTTAATATTTATGATTGACAAACAAGTCATGTCAAAGATTGTTAAGATGCTATTTTCAGTTCAATGTCCAAGCATCGTGTCAAGTTTGCTCCACTTGTACCAGTTAAAAGGTCGACCAAAGTAGGTGAACTGACCAAACTGCCCTGTCGAAATTTTTAGGTTACATGCGGTGTGATCCGTCTTCATTAGCTAATAACATAAAGTACAACAATAAATAATGAAAAAAAGTCCCGTCCGTTGTTCAGTAATTCTGGATACCAGTAATATGTCCTTGATTATTAGATCCAAGAACACGATCCAATCCGAACCAAAGTAACCCATCCTTCAAGACGATATATATTGGTCCTAAACAATTATCGTGGCATTGTATTGTATTCTATTTTATCGTTCGCTTACAGAAAGTAGGTAAACAGATGGGTCTAGATACGAAGAAAAGCTCTTCATTATGGAAAGATAGAGCTTTAGTTGAAGTAAATATAGCTGTTCTTCATAGCTACCAGGTAAGACCAGTTCTCATTTCAAATCATATATTGTGGGAGAGGAAAACATTGAATATCTGTTGGAAGTAAGTTGATGCTGATATAATTTAAAGACCTACATTAGCAGCCAATAGTAGATCAGTTTCCAACGCAGTTGAATTGTGTCATGATTTAAGACGGAAATACACTTAGTAGTTCAAAACATTTTTACAGATTTTAGAACAAAGTTTTGGAACTTTTTCCTTAAATATGTACTGTATATCGAAAAATAATATAGAATTCCAATCTGTGTCTGTTGAATGAAGAGTTCAGGGGTGAAACATTATAATGACCATATTTCAGACTCAAGGAGTAACAATAACAGATCATCATGCAGCTTCAGAATCTTTCATGAAACATCTGGAGAATGAACAGAGACTACGAGGTGGTTGTCCTGCTGATTGGGTCTGGGTTGTACCCCCAATGAGTGGTTCACTGTGTCAGGTGTTCCATCAAGAGATGTTACTGTACAAAATGAAACCTTCATATGAATATCAGGTATGATACGAGGTTACCATTATGGACTGTATCTATTCCAATGTACTAAGGGGGTTGTATGTCAATGGAGGTAGAGGGTTAACGGTAAGCACTCAGCACTCAGAGAGAGGATTTCAAGCCTTCAACTAATCTATTTCTTATAATAGATGAATAAGTGTATGAATAGGAGGACGATGCAAAGATTTTATAACGTGATACAAATTCTATTTGTTAAGATTTGTAGAAGAGTTGATGTAACATTGCAGTTGTAGCGTCCCATCCATTGTCTTTTACATCTAATTTCTTGCGATTCCTTGATACAGTTTCAATGATTAACTGTTTAAATTTGAAGTTGGTTTGTTTTTTCTTTTAAATGAAATAGTTTACCCATGTCAAGATATCACCATTTGAATCACCTTAATGCTAGATGTTTCAAGTAAATAAGTTACTCGGATGTTTTTCAGGAAGACGCATGGAAATCTCATATCTGGAAGAAAGACCGAGACAAGACACGATCTTCAGATCGACCAAAACGTAGATTTGGTTTTAAAGAATTGGCTCGGTAATACTCTTCTATTACTCTTCTGTGTTGTGATATTGTGGGCCTTGAAACAATCGTACAAATTGTTTCCTCCAAGCTACCTGATAGGAAAAGAAATGGTGGCATTTTTTGAATTCTTTGCAAAGAGGAAAAATAAGCAGATCTTCAACATATGTGACGATATTTTTGGACTCGAAATGAGCAAAAATAAAATAAAATTTGCAGAAAATGAGATGCTTCCTTCAAGAAACACCATAGATACAAAACGAGGGAAATTCTTTTTAGGTCTTTGCAAAGAGGAAAAACTTCTAGCCCGCTTCATCATCTATATCCTACGACGAAAACACGTTCTAAAATTCTTCTGCACTATTTGATTAGTACATGGACAGCTAATAACTTGACCATTTCTATTACAGGGCAGTGAAATTCTCAGCTAAATTAATGGGTAAAGCTCTTGCTAGAAGAGTGAAATGTACCATATTATACGCTACAGAAACTGGTAAATCAGAACGATTTGCTAAAACATTGTGTGAAATCTTCAAACACGCCTTCGATGCTAAAGTAAGTTGAAATCTTTATCTTCCAGTTGTGGGAATTGTTCAGGAGAGCTATTGGCATTTGGCTGCTCAAGCAAACGTTACGCAAAAGCTAAATACTCTCTTACGATAAGGCACAGGTTTGTAATAGGCTTCCATTATTGTTGTGTGCAACTTTAAGCTATGAGACTAATTACTTTGGAACTGTTTGCTGTGGAACTATTTGCTATGGAACTTTTTGCCATGTAACTATTTGCTAGAAGGTAACTATTTGTTATGGACCTATCTGTTATGGAACTATTTGAACTCTTTTCCAGGTGATATCAATGGATGAATATGATATAACAGAATTAGAGCACGAGGCGCTAGTATTAATAGTTACTAGTACATTTGGTAACGGTGATCCACCAGAAAATGGAGAAGTATTCGCTAAAAGTTTATTTGAAATCAAAACTAATGATGAGAACGTAGAGTAAGTCTTTACACAGTTTTTATTTGATGTGATAAGGCAAACCGTACTTATTATTAATTGGCAAAATATTTAATTTGACCTCGCTTCAGATATCATTACTCGCAATAGATCTATAATTTGAAATAAATTACCAATCTTGAAATACTGAAGCCCTATTCTTGAAAACTGATGTAAGATAAAATCCATATTTTACGAAGTACGGTTATCTAATTGGTTAACAAAATTTAACTTTAAATCTATATTAGTGACTGGACAATCAGATGACTGGAACACTAAAATAATCTTAAGCTAAGTTATTTAGAGAATAAGGCCCTTGCAATATGCACCACATCCTAAAAATATGCTAAAAGTTGATATCAGCCTTGTGGACTCTCCGTAAGGAACGCCTCGTCTAAATATTGAAGCATTACCATCGAGATAATCAAAGACAAGACTTAGATACTATTGCTCATTTAGTCTAACACATGAATGGTCTGTTTTCAGCACATCAAAAGACTTCAAGTCGTCTTCCTATATTAGAATGAGTACCTCCAGTGAAAAGAGTGTAAAAACAGGAGTAGATAGTAAAGATGAAGAGGTTTCAAGAGCAGAAGATACCAATCTGTTTATGGAAACAGGACCTTTAGCTAATGTTAGGTAAGGTAACCTACTTATAATGCTGAACCAAAACTAAACTAAAGACAGCATGGATGTGCACGAAAGAGAGGATATTATAACAGCAGGATTTCCTTCGTTGCATTGTGAAACTCGTTTCAGTAACGTCTCGCCTGCAGTTTCTGTAATGACTCGTCAGTAAAAAAAGAACCTACGTACAGTTTTCCTTACGAAACATCTGGTAGACACCGTATTTATTTGTGGTGATCCACCTGAATGCTGAATAATTCGATGCTTCTTTGTTGCAATTAGTAACAACCATATCTCATGGCTTCAGACTATTGTTTAATATATTTGGTTTTCCTTTGACTATAATTGGATATTTACATATATAAACAATTGTGTAACTAATTAGATCTTGTTTTCTCGACACATATTGAACAATAAGAGATAAAAAAAAGAAGTGAATTAACACTTTCGATTACTTGAGTGGCCCAAAAATACTTCATCTGGCCTCACAATCCCATAATCAAACCAATGACGTTGATATAGTTACTGCTTTATCACTCTGTGGATTTCTGAAATGTATTTTGAGAACTTCAACTTCAAAAGAGCCATCAAAATTCTACTTTGTCTTTTATTTGCTTTATGAAAATTTCAATGAATGGTGAAGTATTATTTTTGAGTTTTATTTTACTTTACTTCGGGGGTGGGGAGGGAATGAAAGCCAACCGTTGAGAATATCTGTAACATGACAGATCGGTAGGAATGTGGTCGAGGACAAAACAATTGAAAGTATTTCAGGGTCAATATTATACAAAGCGGGTTAACGATAAGTATGTCCCTAGAGAATCACAACAGAAGAACAATCTATTTTCAAACAGTTCATTTCGCACTTTTCTTCTCAATGAAATTAGTTTTTTTTCTTTAATTAAATAAAAGGTTTTGTTGTGCAGTTAGTGAGGTCTGTCATCTATTTTGTCTCGCTATTTGTAGAAAAAACTCGTTATTGTCGGTTTTTATTAATGCACTGCTAATGAATGTTGAAGCTTCCTGGTTGATCGCGAAAATCTGGCTTATATTTTAAATGAAACGAAATGGAGTTTTACGCATTAAATGGATTGGACGAGTTTTATGCGTGTATTCATATTTATATGAATTATATTTAAATACATAAGGTGGTAATGAATGCACGTAAGCGTGTTGATGTGACTGGTTAAAAGAAATACCTCGCTGAAATGAATATTTATTATCTCGATTCCAAGTACTAGGTTTACCTGCTAAAGGGAAACACGGTAAAAACGAATCGTAGTTCTACTTTCGTGCACTTTCAGAAGTTCTTTGAAGTGCATTTCTTTACAATAAGTACATGCATATGTATGAGTATAAAATGAAAAATAGTTTTACATTATATTTTTACTGTTCCATAAAGGACAAATGATGATCATGCAACATCGTTCAATGTAAATTAGATATATCTTTTTTCAAATACAAATATCTAGAGTGTTTTCTACACGCTCGCTCAGAAAAAGGTGCCCTTATTGTGTGATTACGTATATTCGAGCCTATTATAACATGACAATCTGTAGATGCATTACACACTTAATGAATGTGATGTTTTATGGACATTTAACTCATTCACGACATTTAAAAATCACGCGCTGATATACTTTAATTTCTTGAAATATATCTTAATGTGAAAATAAGAAAAAAAACAACAATTTATTATTATCAGTGAAATGAACTGTTTGAAAGAGAGAAGGGGAGTTGACAAACCATGTAGCAGAATGGTGATTTAATTACCTCGCTTACATCATTATATTGATGCCGATGCCTTGGAAATCGTAGTTCCAGGAAAATCAAAATGTATTGAAATGAGCATCCCACTTTTATGTATTTAATCAGGTTAATGAAGACCACAACTTTTCTGAACTTGATTGAGCATGTGACCAAATTGTCTGCACCTGCACGGATATTGAAAACGACAAATACTTTTTGAAATTCAATGATGATGATACTTCTTATGATAATGACGATGATAATGATGATATCTTCATTTTAAACCTTTTCAGATTCTCTGTCTTCGGCCTGGGTTCTAGAGCCTATCCTAATTTCTGTGCCTTTGCTAATTATATGGATAAGATGATGAGTGAATTAGGCTCTGAGAGGATTTATGATATGGGAGAAGGAGATGAACTTTGTGGACAGGAAGAATCTTTTAGAAACTGGGCACAGGAGGTCTTTAAGGTGAGGTTTCTTAAAATCTTTTCAAGAATGGACAATCCAATTTTATTTATCCACAGAAGTAGAGTTTTTTTGCTGCCAAAATTCAACAATATATACAATCAGTGGCATTTTAACGGGGGGAGGGGGCGGTAGAGAGAGACCCGCCCTGCTTTGCCTCCCACCAACTTTCAAAATTTGTATCAATTTACACAGTGAAAGTATAGCCTGTGGCCCCCAGGAAAATTTTGTCGCTCTTGCCCACCCCCAGTTAATTTTTCCTAGAAACGCCACTATATACAATTGCGTATTTAAGTGTTTATTTCTTTAAAATTTCGGTCCTCGTAGTATACATGTATCTTGTAAGCCTTTTAAGCTCAAAAGTTAGATCACCTTGCCCTTTAAAGCATACTCTATTCCTGCTTTAGTCATTATGAAAGTCAGCGACCGACTGGAACAGACGAAAATAACCACTGTCATCCCAATCTTCTTTTACTATTTTACTTTTATTTCATTAGGCTGCTTGTGAAACTTTCTGTCTGGGAGATGACGTCAATATGAGCGAGGCTACAGGAGCATTATCCAGTACCGATCATACTTGGGTTCCTGAAAAGTTCCGATTGACACCGCTCGATAATGAGAAGGAAATGGAACCGTGTGCAGGTAGAAATATAATTGAACCTTTATGTTGCCATTTAAAACTCGATGTGAATACTGTCAAAGTGTATCGATTTGCTGCAAAGAACATGGCGAAACGGGCCAGTGAAATCGTAAACGTGTGCGCCTCAACCAGAAAAGCACCATTAGCAATTTAACAAAAAGTCAACATCTTTGCTTCTATAATATTGTATGTCCCACATACATTCGAGCTTGTCATTGTTTCTATTGTAGCTTTGTCCAAGCTACACAATAAAACAATATTACCATGTAAAATGTTGGAAAGAAAACAACTTCAGGCTGCAGATTCCGAGTAAGTTATTTCATATATTTGTATCTGATGGGCGTTGGCTTTAAGAGGTTGAGAAACGCTCGATTGGTTCCAATGGACCTTGCAAGAGTAAGAGTGGATTATTTGTATGAAGCCTAAAGCGTAAGTATGGAATTTATTTTTAATAAAGCAGTGAACTCGTTATATGTTAATCCGATTTAAATAGTTTAGCGGTATCATATTTCGAAAATGTCCTACAACAGCTTGCATATGTCCTGCTTATTTCAGACGTCAAACCATACTGGTGACGATGGATACACAGGGAGCCTCTGAGTTATTGTATATGCCTGGTGATCATGTTGGTGTTTTCCCTGAAAATAATCCTGACTTGGTATCAGCTATACTGGCTAGATTGAGTAACGCTCCACCACCAGATCAGCTCATTAGACTGGAATTCCTTACAGAGAAAAATATGCCTTTAGGTTAGCTATTATTTGAATTATATGTATATAGATGAATATTTACCCAGATTTTAATACAAAGTGTGTGCAGTCAGTGTGTCAAAAGTATGTCTAATCGTTAAGAGTTATGCATTTGTTATTCACTGTAGATTTGCTGATTACACTAACCCAGTAACAGAGTCAAATCAGGTGTTCCGTAATAGTGAAGATACCTTGCCTCGACACCCATCATAATATTCATTTTTGTGGAGCTTAAATTCTTTGGTCTTGGCTTCAAGAACCGAGAGCTGATCCTTACCATTTGGAATTATCAAATAAATATTTGATATTTATAGTTTAAAAGGGCTTTTGCTGATCCTATATGTGTCAAATCTCTTGGTCTTTATAATCTAACTTTAAATATGAATATTTACAGGAACTACTAAATCATGGGGACCATATGAGAAGTTTCCAACGTGTACATTACGAACAGCATTCTCTCGCTTCCTCGATATAACTACATCTCCTTCACAATCTCTTCTACAAGCATTAGCTGCTCAAGCCACACGTGAGGTGGAGAAAGAACAGTTGGAGCTACTGGCCAAGGTAAACGTAGCCCCCGATGAATCGATAAAGCGAGGAAATGCTTTTCCTAGAATGAAATATTTGTTTTTTTATGTTCTTTTTTTTTTTAAACAAAATACATCGCATCAAATCAAAGCAACTATCATCTCAATTATGTTATTGCGTACTGACATATTGAATATTACTCCGTGGTTGAATTGTTGTTCAAACGTTTTGATAATTGCTCTATTATGTTTCTAGCCAGTGCCAGGCCTAAAAGTTTTGTTCACAGTCTACCTTAACATTCTTGAACATTGCTTTAATCCTGTGCCAGTGCCCTCTGTCGGATAGTAACTTTCAACCACCCTAATCTTTATTATGCTTAATGTTGCAGGATTCGCAAGCCTATGAGGAATGGAAGTATGATCTGATGCCAAACCTGCTGGAAGTCTTTGAGATGTTCCCATCTCTGAAAGTTCCACCATCTCTATTGATGACGCAACTTCCGCTTCTACAACAGAGATTTTACAGTATTAGTTCAGCTCCCGTGGTCTATCCTGGAGAGATACACGCTACTGTTGCTGTAGTGTCGTTTAGAACACAAGGTATGTCGTCCTTTTCATTTCATTAATGTTGGTGGGATTATCCGCGAGGTCATTATTCTACTATTTCACAATTGTGAGCGAGCGATATACTCTGCTACCTGGTCAGAATCTCCGTATCACTGATAATGCTATTTTGGTATATTTAACATTCATCATCGTAAGCGATTGTACGTATGCCCACGCTTGTACGTATACTCAGAAACTGATAACGGGTTTCAGGTTCTAGTGAATATTATTTCACTATTGGCTAAACCATTATCATTGATTTTGATTACAGATGGAGCAGGTCCTATCCATGAAGGTGTGGCATCGTCTTGGTTAAACAGAGTAGAACCTGGTCATACAATACCGTGTGCTGTCAGAGGGTAAGGTTTTGTATACTTATTAGAATATATACCGACTAAAACGATCAGACACCACTAAAAAATGAACAGAAACTATCAAGATTTGATATCAGAAAACGAAACTAATTGGGATCGACTCTGAAACGATTTTTGATTAATGTTAAACAGCATATTAAGCCTGATTATGTACTTTAACATTTGTGAATAGTATGTGAGTAATCTATAAATGACATAACATATTTAATGAATGCAGTAAGACTGATTTGGGATGATGTTATCTGAGAGCTCAGCATTTATAATGTCAGGAATTGACACAAATTGTAGGTTTTGTTGTGATACATGGCCACCCACATATCAAAGACTACATTCTGAATTCATTCCATTGACTAACCCCATCTATCAATGAACAAGATTTGTACAAAAATAGAAATATACTTTCCGTATAAGCTTGTGTTTTTGTTATTGCATCTAGGGTATTACGTAATGAATTGCTCCGGAGAGTATTCATAAAAAACCTTTTGAAATAATTAAGATATATCAGGCATCACTGAGTTTTCTGATCAAAAAACCCATAGTAAATGATAGTTTCTTTGTAGCATTCCTTATATAAGTCTTCGTTATTTAATTATCAGAACTCCTTCATGCATATTCATAAAGCAAGTCTTAAAAGGATAGATGCGGCATTTGCGGGAGTAAATCATACCTTGATCTCAAAAAAGTGAATTGTTCCACTACTAATCAATGATAATGTTCACAACTTACCGTTGAAATTTGAACCTTCAAATCCAAGTGTATCCATGACTGTTTATGTTTGAAAGTTATTTCAAATAGTCGGCATTATAAGAGATTTTTTATTTTGAATATCCGTTGATGACGTCATGTGTTTACAGTAAACTAACTCAATCATCATGTTCTACTTCGTGTGTGCACAGCTGCGACGGAAGGTGTCTTGGTGTTAGAGACTATATCAACAAGACGTTCAACTTTCGGATACCCCAAATATCAGAGAGAAAATAAGCTCGTGAACTAAATAAGTAAAAAGTTAATGTTTAAGGTCTATAGTTCTGACGACTATTTACGTATATTCAAGATCCAAAAATGTCCCCAGAAATGTCGCACCTGTCCCTTTAAACATCAACCGTTTAAAACACCAGCATGAAGTATTTGACTCTCTTCAGTATGTTATTATCGTCTAAAAACTCGTCTGTGTCCAATTTCCCCATGATGGTAAAGTACTCATACGTATGCATGAAGTCAATCCGACATATCGATCATGTCGGAATTTCAACTATTGTGCTGTTGCCTGATTTACATATTCTTCATTCAGTGAATAACATTTTTTGGCTTATATATGCACATATACGAACTGAATGGGACGTATCAATCTTTTCGGAATTCCACATTTGGGGTTTTCGGCCAAATATATCTGTTACCGGAAGTCGATTGATCAATCTTTTCGGAATTTCAAAGTTCCGTGATGTTCGAGAAAGGACTAAGGCATTAGCTAAATAATGTTCATGTACACATGTATCTATAAACTGGTTCTGAGGTTTTCTTTTAACATATTAGCCACTAGCTACCCCCTCCTCCCCCGGTCTCCATTCCTCTCTTCACCTATACTATGACATATTCACGTGTATCCATGAACTGAGACGGCAATATCAATCTTTTCGGAATTCCAATGTTCCAGAAGTTCTTTTGACAACATGTATCAATCAAGATAACTGATTTCCTGTTTCAGAGCTCCGTTATTCCGCCTGCCTGATGACAATACATTACCTATTATTATGGTGGGTCCTGGTACAGGTATAGCACCGTTTAGGAGTTTCTGGCAGCAACGTAAATTAGATATGGAAATGGAAGACATACCCTGTCGTAAGTTACAATTTTTGTCTGTATTTTTTTAATTAATCTGAGATGAAAATAAATGTTTGTTTCGTTGCGTGTTTTTTTCTGTAAATTACTGCACTTGCCATTAATAATATTACGAGGTTCTTCTTCGACTTCTGTCATTGCAAAACACTAGTAGAAGTGGACTGACAATACAAGTCAATGTTTAACAATATAGAAAGGAGATCTGTAATTGAACAAAGTATTGGATTCATTGGATCTAATCAGATAGTCTTCAAAATTTGATGAATCTGTTTTAAGAGATAAAAGTATTTTGTATACAAATTCATTTACATTTTGTACAGAATAACTCCATTCATTCTGCTTTGGGTAATTGTTTGATGGTTTTACTTTTCGACTATGGCTATATCAAAGGATGAAATGGTGTTTCAATGTTTTGTGTACATGTAACAATGTCTTGTGGTTTTGTAAAACTAAGAGTGTCTGGGCCTTCATCAAAAAAAAATGAAACAAGAAAGAAACGATGTTGTTGCTTGATTTCAGATGGTGATAAGAAGGGCTGGGGACGTATGGAGCAGTATTTTGGATGTCGACGATCTACAGAGGATCATATATACAAAGATGAACTGGCACAGATGAAAGCTGACAAAGTTCTCTCCAATTTTCATGTGGCCTTGTCTAGGGAACCAAATCAACCCAAGGTAGGTTTAAGCTAACCATTCTAACCTCGAACCATGACTCAAAGCACGGCACTATTCTGGTACACCTGATGTAAGTCATTTTATAAGGCCTTATACACGTTTATTCAAAAAGCTAATATAATTTATGTTGACATTTCCCTAAACACAAGGACATAAAGACACAGAAACAGATAGGTACAGATACATTAAGACCAACGTGGCATGGTTCGGTGAGAGGAGGGGAGGGGTACAACAGTGTGATACCATAGGAAATGTTTCTTGTGATCATTCGAAAAAGACTTCCCGCCGATCATTATATTAGAAACAAACGAGTTAAAGTGTAATGATTGGTTCACTATGAAGTGAATGGCTAGAGTCGTCATAAAACCTAGTATCTTTTGTTTCAGACATATGTTCAGGATTGCCTAATTGCTAACAGTGAAACGATATACCAATCTATTGTTAAAGATGGGGGACATTTCTATGTTTGTGGTGATGTTTCAATGGCTCAGAACGTCACCAATACCTTAGATACCATTCTTCAAACTTGTGGTGGCATGAAGTCTGATGAGTCTAAGAACTTCATCCTCAAATTAAGGGTAAGTCATTAGACTTAGGGGTCAAGTAAGAGTTCAATTGTGTTTGATGTATAGTTTTTGTACAATTTGTTCACTTTCTGTGAGTAACTTTGTACATTGATTGCACATGCAAATATTATGCCGTGGAGTAACGTTAAGTTGGCGAAACGAAAAGCGAGAACCTTGTTTAATGCTTATAATGGCTGTTATCGTTTGAGACTCAGTGATAACACATGGTCCTGGTGACACAATGACACCTGTTATTTGACGAAGGTACAGACCCTTCCAGTTTCCCAAAAACGCGAGAGGCATTGAGTAAACAAAGTAATAATGTTGATATGGTATATTACAGGATGCTAACCGATTCCACGAAGATATATTCGGTGTAACTTTTAAAAGAAGTGAAAACGATAAACCACGTGACCCGAATAAGCGAGCCTGGAAGTTTATGACGTCAACAAGTAAACCTAGCGAGAATGATTCGGTACAGGAAATACCTACAGGTTCTACGGTAAGCATTTTATTATTCATATAAATTCATACAAATAAACGAAAATTATACTGTCCTGACAATATAAATCATTGTATACAGCATGACTTTATCAGTACTCATTATAAACGATTTTAAACATTGCTGACAATATATTACAATGGCGTTTGAGTAAGGTCAAGTTCGAAGTTTGCTACCCACAAAACATGGCGGCGAAACCCCGAAAATCGTTTTTATGATCCAACCAGTAAGACGGAAAACTCAAAACTCATACCCGATCTTATCGTTTATTTTAACAATGTCATTGGTTTGATTATTGGATTGCGATGCCGGATGAAGCATTTTTGGGCCATTCAAGTAACTGGAAGGCATAATATTCTCAAATAAGCAAATTCTGAAGACGGCCACCAGAACACGCTTTGTTTTAGTTATGTGTATAATCGTCGATTTTTTAGAGACAATGATTGAAATGCTAATTTGATATTTTTTTCATTTGCTATGCGTATAGAGATATCATATTCTTTTCATTTCAGCCTATTTCAACATCCAAGCCTAAAGCCCCAGAAAAGCATACCAGTAACATAAATATACAGTTGAAAAATCCTTTAAAATAATATTTCATTTTCTTAGATTATCTCTAGATTTAGAATTTTAATCAAATAATATGATTGTTAAAGTCGATTCGACATTTTATTATTGTTGTTATCCATTGATGAAAGAGTCTGCCCAGCGAAATCGCACAAATTTCAATAAAATGTATTTAATAGTTCCGCTGGACACACTCTTTCAAGAGGCAATAAAGTGCTAATTCATCGCTCATCCTTTAAACGCATCAGGTCAAAATCATTGGTGTTGGTCTCCATTTATATTTAATGCTTGTTTTTCTGTCTATTGTAAAAAGAGCAAAACGTTTGATTGTTAAAATTCACATTAATTGTTTTAAAATATTTAAGAAATTCGGAAAGCAGAGAGAAGCATCCCCTGTAAAAAACAAAAGGGGTAACATTGATTTTAACAATTTTGTTAATTATTAAAATCGATAGTTCAATTGGCAACTACGTCAAGACAAATTGGTTACAATTACACTAAATTCTACATAAACCTAAAGATTGAGAAATTAGAGGTCGATCGACTATTTCATGTTCGCTCTAACGTATTTTGGTATCAGCTCCTTGGTTTGGTCGAATTAGCATATATTTGACGTGCAGATACGACCAACGGACTCGCTCTTTCGATAACTTTGATGCTTATAATGTATATTTTAGTGTTACATTATAATAGGGAAACTCTTTACTGTTACCCATCTTTGAATCTTATTGATCATGCAGATATTGTTAATTTGAGACAATGATAAATGTTTAGATAATCCAGAATGTATCTAAATGTCGTCAGTATTTTCGAATTACGATTTAGTTGTCGAAAGTTTCTCCTATAAGGTGATATCAAGCCTAAATTAACTTCTATGGGTTGAATGTCCCTTTAAAGCATTACATTGTGGTTGCCTTCATTACTGTATCATTACCATAATTTTGGCAACCGTTCTTGTTATTTCTGTACATAATAAATATATCTGTTATTTTACTTTCATTACTATGCATGTTAGCATATTATTTATTATTTTCTCAATTAGAAATGATTTACATTACAGAAAACATCAATCTGTTTGAAATACAGCTCGTTTCGTTTTTGTAAGCTATTTCATTCGATCAAATGCTTGGAAGTACTTGCGCACAAAATATGAAATTAGAGGTTACGGAACGAAACATTGAGCATGTATTACAAGCATAGTTTGAATGTACTATTCTATTTTGTTTGTATTTTTTTTAATTTGGTTATATCATTTAGTGCTGATTGTTTATTCTTTCAAATAAAGTTGGACTAAAGCCTCTAGAGTGGGTCAATTTTTAAAGAAAAAAACGTCTATCTTATCTATAATTCAATGGTTTTGTACGTTGTGGTATGGGCCACCATTAAGACTGTACTCCATACTATTGATTGTTATAGCATGGATTAGGATTCATCTCATTAATAGAATCTGATTGGCTTCGAAACTAACATATGAAAGTTTGGTATACATTTAATTGCTTAAAGTTCAAAACTAATTTTCACCATTCCAATTTTCAATCAGACGTCTAAGGTTCCTGCAATTCCACTAAAACTAATTGTTCGCGAATGATAAAGCATATTTTGCGATAAGTAACGTTATCAAACACCTAGGTTTAGTCGAATTACAGCAACCACAGACGTCTGATTGACAATTCGAATGGTGAAAATTGATGCTATCAGTGTCCCCGATACACATTGAATTTTAAGAAATCCTTTTTACAGTCCCTTTTAGATTATAAACATTGCTTTGTATTTATTGTCGGTATACCATATATTTTTCAGCTACTCCACAATATGGTATAATATTTAAAAGTTTAATGAATTTGTCATTTCTTCAGCAATATTATTTTTTTCCGATTCCATTATTTGAAAGGTTTTGGTTAATATTAAAAAAAAATCTTGTTTTTCAACGGTTGTCCTTTATTTATGTGTCCTGATCTTTTGATTTCCAGAGCAGTACCTTATCCTGGATTATATTCCAGTGGACGCCCTATGGACTTATCACTGTTTTCTACTCATGATTATAAGAGAGAACACTATTTGCGACAGAACAGGAAGACAGCCAAGATATATCTAGGTGATATTAACATGATAAGGTCTAATCTATGAATATGAGTAAAAGGGTACTTGATTGATTGGATTCATACTACGAACCGATATTATACGATTCTCCGATTCACGTCAATAGATTGGACCGTAAAGGCCAGGGTTGTGCGCGTGTGTGTTTGTGGGAGAGGGGGCGTGGGAGGAGGCGGGGGTTGGGATGGTCCTGATGTTCTTCATCGCAAGAGCATCGAGAATTTCAACAGGGCCTTGTATACAAAGAAATCATTTGCTGGTGGTCAATCTATAGGATATGAGTGTTTCGCTCATGTATCAGAGGATATGCTTTGAATTACCAATCGACCTAAGTCCAGTTTTGTTTCAAAAAATAAGTCCTTCCTATTGTATAATTATATCAATACGCTGGTGTTTTAGCAAAATATTTAATCAGATATATGACAGAGCAATGCATAACGTAAGAAAGATAACCAACAGATTGAGAATAACAAGTTGCAATATTTTGGCATTTAATATTTGGATATCACATTGATGAATCATCTTCCCAAAGTCGACACACTACTTAGAAACCTATCCACCATTAAGTAAATTGTATGTAAAAAAAAGGACGTATCTATCACGAAAGTGTTGAAGATAACTGACCTAAAGGAAGCACTATTACCAATTGCTTTAAATAAATATCAATAAAGCTGATACGTTAAATAGTCCTGATATTAATCCATCAAATTAAAACAAATGTGTAATATTGGCACAAACGGGTTGCATCAGTAAGTATTTTTGTGCGTAGATTATGGTTAAAGGCAAATAATTGAGGAAGCACCTGACATTTAGGTATGTCGTTACCTATATCAGCAGCACAAAACCATGAGCACGTGATCATTGCTTATCCAATCAGCAGCAACGATTTCAAATCACACAATTATTTAATATACGATATATTGTCATCATAACAAAGATATTGGATACAGAAAATAATACTGTATTGTCTTATTGGTTTCACTCAAAATTCCTCGTGGAAAGGATAGTATTTGTGATCAAGAGCTCTGAAAATAAATAGTAGAATATCGTTATAGTGTCTAAAATGGATTCATCAACAGTGAGTACAACAATCATTCATTAAAATTCTAAGCGGCGTTTCGACATGTTTCTCTCAATGTCCTTCGGCATATTGCCATAAATATTTCTGTTCCATAAAGCTATGTCTATATATCAGTATAGTTGTCGATTTAGTCAACTGGACCGTTACTACATCCAGGCAAATGCCTCATGCAAAATTTAACAAAGAATAAATTTTGTTTAAAAATCGGCTACATATGTCGCCTATGTGATGTACATAGAAAGTAGTCACTGTTTGAAGACTTCCGGAAGCGTTGCTATGATAGAAATAATTTTTAAAGACACTAGACTGCCTAGACCCTGATCAACCTAATGCCAACGTTAATTCACAAAATATAACACAGTTTAGAAAAATGTGAACATCAGTACTTTAAGTTTAAAGATTTTCCGTATTAAATTTCGTATTTCAAGGGAAGTAACTTGTTCTAAATTTTATGCTTGTTTTGAAAGTGTAGCCGCGTTAAACATATTATGTAGAAGCGCCACTGTTGCTTACGGATCTAGTTGTTGTTAGAAATAATTACTGAGAACTTACATTTCTTCACTGTATCCTCGTATCCCTTTATTTAGAGAAAATAATTGTTGTTTATCACTGTCCGAAAGGGAAAAATCAAAAATCTACAAAACAGAAGATTAAGTCCTTATTAGGATATTAGATGCAGGGCTGGATATGGTCACCTTCACAATTCCAAGGCCGGTTCCGAGGGTTATATCTAATATTAAACCGAGGGCCATTGGGGGCATGCGGGCATTTGATAAAAAAAAAAAAAACAACAGACTTTATAGATAACAATTACTGCTTTATCACCAGTTCTATTTTATGATAATGGTTCCCTGATCTTTTTCAAACTAGTGATTGATTCAACAAAATATTTTTGCGCCAGCGATCAACAGATTTACAAAATGAAGGACTTTTATTACAAAATAGGTTTACCTCAAAGTTTTCTGGTATTCTTTTAGCATTGACACTTTTAGGTAACACCCCAATACCCTGTTGTATTAAAAACCTTAAAGCTACCTGAAAATATCAAATAGTATCAGAATGATCGCAAGCATATTTCCTCCTCAATATCTTACCAATAGATAAAACCTTCAAGTTACAAAAATGTACACTGCTACTGGGTCATCAAGGCTTCGTGTCATTTGTCATCGTCATCACGTAGCGAAAGAAAGAAAGGTAAGGAAAGAAACACCAATTATGTACAAGATCCTTTATACCAGCCTCTTGACATTGGTCTTCCGTTTCTATTAACATTTGGGTAAAAAAAAGCAACACGGTAAACTTAAATCAATTGCAGTTTTTGTTATGATGTTCTGGACCCCCAGGAAACAGCAGCAGGGTCGTAATATATGGTTGACGGATAAAGGAAGATGAAGAAACTAATTACCTGAGCTGGTGTTTTATTTTTCTTGCTGGCTATATCCTTTAATACCGGATCTTCTAATAATGGCGTAGAATTACTGTAATATAATACAAATATCTTATCATCAATCCCGACTACTTGCTATCTTGTAAGTTTTTCAGTAACAATACGAATAAAACACCTTAATTCAATGCATTGACTATCAGACTTATAATTTCAAGAAACAATTGTTGAAATATTTTACACTGGAACTCATCCCTGAAGAAATACGAACCTGGTGTTTCCAGGTGAACCTAGAGGAGCGAAGGCTGTTACAGCTATATCATTAGCTTTACAATACTCCACTAATTTCTTATTGTTATTCTGTATATTTATTTCTACCTAGAAAGAGTTAATTAAGTTAATTCAATTCAAGCTGACAACTTGTATCTGATTTTTAAGGTGGCAGAGATGTTGATGCAGTTCCCAAATGTCCACATCAAGTACACATCACGTGCACTATATAAGGGACCATTGGATGCTTTATACTTATCACAGGTCTATATATATATATTATGTTAAATAACATGTAGTCATCTGACAAATAACTTTACGATATGGGTAATGCATCCAACACAAAAGCAGTCGATAGATCCTATAGGTTAGGTTAGGTTCAGGGGCGTTTCTATTTATCACTAAGGGGGAGAGGGGAGCGGACGAATAATATAATAGGGGCTCTTGGTATTTCAGATTCTAAAGAGCGAGGTGATGGGAAGAGGAGGCAAAGTCCAGCTTCAGAATTTACATAAATTGATCGTATTTTACCTGATTATTACTAGGTTTAATTCTGGAATTATCTAATATTCTCTGTAATTGTTTACTATTAAAATTACTACAACCAATACTTAATGTTAGTCCTTGGTCAACACAGTCTTCTAGTGCCTAAAATGATAATATAATATTATGTGATGTGTATGTACATGTAATATAATAAAATGTAACGTAACATAAAATAACATAAAATAACATAAAATAACATAATACAATAACTGGAAATAGGGATAATAATAATAACGAGAAAGAGAAGATGTTCATGCTAAAAGGAATAGATAAAATATCGACGACAAAACAATGATGATAATACAGAATAAGAATGGGGGTGTTAATTGCGGCGTCTGGTTTTTATGATGCTGAGAACCAAGAATGATAATGATTTAGCATTGGAGATTAGAATCCATTAAGTGTCCATTACCTTCCATGTATCTAAGTAGTCGACATCAGAAAATAAAACTTTCCCATTTTCATCTCGTGGTAAAAATTCTCCCCCTTCCTGTAACATAGAAAACCACGAAAATCAATCGGGAAGATTGGGACGGAATAATATAACTCCTATGCTATCTCGGATATAAACCTGAATTCCAGCTTTGAACTCACCAAAACATAAACGGCATTTGCATATTTATAAAACGAAATGTTTCAATAAACCGAGGCCCCGTGTGCACGTTAAAGATCCTTCGACAGTTGGAAATCGAAAAAGAGCAGGCTAATGCCGCTGTCCTGGCAAAATATCCTTCATCGCACCCTGCATGTCGTTGCCCGTCTTCATTAGCCACATGGTGCAGAAAAGTGGACGTAAAACTCCATTCATTTGTTTTTCATTTTTTGGGGTTCTATACTTTGGTGTCTATACTGTACAAAACCATACCTTATACGCCATAGGCCAATGCATTAAATATAAATCTAAGTATTGTAAACCTAAATCTTCTAATGACTTCTTTAAATTATCTTCTACTAAATCTGGTCGGTGACATGTATTCCATAACTACAACATACAGTTAAACCTTCAAACTATCAGAAACTATATATTTCCTATTACAGAATTGGTTACAATTTATTGCATTCGGGTTGCCTTTAATCATGCATTAAAAGTCCTCTATCATCCTTGCCAACAAGAGATGTATTAAACTTCTTGCAACTAAAATTCATAAAACATTCATTCCACTCTCATCTTCAGTCGATTCTTCTGGATCCTCAAGGGAGGTACGATGCTGATCACGAAAAACTTTATTACACCTGTTAACAAACCAACAAAGAAGATAACACTGTACTGTAGAATGTTCTTCTATGATTTTCAAGAGATCAGCAAAACAAATCATATACCATTCTTATTTATTACCTCGACGAATTCTTGTTTAAAGTAGGGTGTGTGTTCGTGTTATCATAGAAATCAAAAATGAATAAACGGTCTGCAAACGTTCTTGTAATGTTTTCTTCAAGTTCAATTCCCCAAACTAACCTTGCTTGTAATAAATAAATCTTCTCGTTTGACCACATCCTCTACAATCAGCTGTTTAATAGCATGACCAACAGCTCGTTCATTCCGGTAGATGGCAGCACAGTCGATATGTCTATACCCAGCCCTTACTGCTGCTTTAACCGCATCTATCACCTCATCTTCATTCTAAAGAAATAAAATAGAACTTTGCTAATCGCTTGGCTGGTTGATGACAAATGAACGCCCGCTTCGAAAAGAAGCTGGTATCGCAAACTAGCTATGCCCTCCCTTTTTCCCCATGAACTGAATGTTAGACAGGGTTTTGTGTGATTTTAGTTTTGCTTATAGGACTGTATATGGGGTGTTCAAGGACATTGAACCCGTGGTCTTGCCTTTAGATTAATGTGTCTATCATTTGTTTTTCCTTACTAAGAAAATGAAATCAGCATTTGAACCCTCTCACCGATCAAGATATTGAGTTTTACACTGTACTCGTCTGGGCTATCAAAAATACTAAGATCACATTAGTATAAGTATGTAACATTAGTACTTAAATGACACAATGACATTGAGTATGACCTACTGAATTCATATTATCTGTTTACCTAGACAGTTTTGATGTTATCAGTAGTTTTTGAGACTGATTTGATTGATTGTTCAACGTTTGGGACCGTATGCAGTCTAAAGTCGAACGTTACAAAGTTAGGATTAAGGCTTTCATTTTCTACCTTTGATAGTCAAATTTAAGCACGACTTTCGTAAAGATCGACCGGTGCATACCTAAAGTTCGACTTACGTCTAACTTAAGTCAAAGTTTAGGTAAAGTACGAACGCTGCATATGGCCCTAAGGGTCATGGCGCTGGATTTTGAAAGCTTTTTCAATTAGCAGAATTAAAGCTTTAAACAAGGTTATGCTTTCACGAAATCCACATATGTAAGGCAAGAGTTATGAGATCGTTGTATAAGAAATTAAAGCTTGAACTGAATATGAATAGAACTTTGTAACAGACAAAGAACATAAAACAACTAGAGGAAAAACAGCTGTTGACAAGAGTTACGTCCCTTTAATCATTTATCATTCTAAAGATGTCCAATAATCAATAGCAATAATAAATGGATATTTATTTAAAATGCAAGTAATTTGTATGTGCTATATGGAATCGGAAACGTATCGGACATTTCATCACACCAAACAAGTTTAAAATGCCTGACACATATGCTCAACCTAGATTTTGCACGAAACACGGTCCTCATGCGTGTATAGTGTTATAACAAGCCGCCAGCTAACCTAGATACTAGCAGTTAAATGTAGCACATATCTGGAAATATCTTCATTATAACGTCCTACTTACGTTTTTCGGAGCATATGTCCCGAGTCCAACGATAGGCATGGGTCGTCCATTATTTAGCGTCAATACAGCACTATTGTGGTCTGTCATGTTACAATACAAGCTATACACAATTCCGACCGGTTAAGTATGGTATAACACGAGATAGAACGAGAGCGTGCTAACTAGGTCATGGTCAAAGATAATGGAAATCTTTGTTCGGTTCAACTGATAACGTAATTTTAACTAAATGTGCCTTTTATTGCAGCATTTTTGAGAATAAAATTGGTTTTGACTCTTTTTTAACGTGTACTATGAATGCCTTCCACTGTTATAAACCGAAAATGTATTTTATGTAGAGAGGATGTATGCACAATTTTCATTATCAAAAACGTTGTAAATTATATTTCCATAATATGCTATTTACATCTATGTATATTCTTGATCAAACTTTATTAAATACGGAGAGCACTAATTGTTAATTAAGCACTTTGACCAAGTTTTGGTATTTGGTTTTATAATGGCTCAATATCATTAGTTGAAAAAAGTAAGGGACATGTTTCTCAACAATTATTTGTGTTTTTGGTTAAATCCGTACAGTAGTTTTCTAACACCCTCCGGATAAGTTAAGGGACTCTGTAGAATTTCTTGTATGGTTTTCACAAATTTGATCCAAAAAATTTGTCGACCTACAAAAAAAAAAAAAAAAAAAACCAGGATGTCGCTTTAAACATTTTGTTTTTTAATACCTCTATTGGCCTGTATTAAATACGCTGACGTCCAGTCCAATGTGATACTTTCAATACATAACAACCTTTTGCATCTTCTTAGAGAATCCTTTGGGTCAGCAGATTGTTGTTGTGATGTGTATGTTATGCTGTTTTTTTCTTTTTACAGGAAGTGACTTGATTCATTGACTGGGATGCAGATAATGAAACACCAACATAAAAATATTCAAAAGGTAAACCTACAGCAACAAAGTACAAGACGGAAGAGAATGAAATTAAAGTAAGTATCGATTGCTGTGCTCACAATCCAAACTCGATTTTAAACAAGAAAAAGGTTGATTGTTGCTTCGAAAATATTCATGTTGGTTGAGTTGTTTCCCTTCATCTGTAAATAGTAAACATACTGTATTTTAAGTATTTTTCTGAAGCAGACTAAGGCAGAACTTTTGTCAGAAAAATAAAATTTTGTGTACGGAGCTTCAGAGTATTGTCTCTCCCGAATTCCAAAACCACTTAGGTAAGCGAGCCACCGTGCTCCACCTCCATCTTTCATGATATTCAAAAAGTAACTGTGAATTGCCTTGAATTTTTCCGACCGTCGACCAAAAGCAATTATTTCAGATTCGTACATAGTGTTAATTTATTTACAGACTTGTTTCAGTGATTTCAAATACTTTGCTAAAACATTGGCCCCGCTCCACAAAAATTCAGAATTTGTCGTTAGTGTAGAATTTTACATTCAAAAATACCATACTTACAAAATTGATGGTAAATTTTTGTGGAACGGGGCACAGATGCGGAAATACATGCTCCTTTTCCTACAGCACTTGTCCTGATTATGAATTCGAAATCCGAATCACCTATAGCTTAAATCTTCTCCACATACACTTATATATTAGATATACTAACTATTCAGTTAACATATAATAATAGAAAATCATCACTCAATAATTCCAACAAGGCAGCTGAAGAAATACAATCTTGATAAAAAAAAATCAGAGTAGCAATGTTATCAAGAATTCTGTCAGAATAACAACAATAGCGTGGATTTATTCTTGATTTACGTTTGACTTAATAACGTCATTCTGTATTTTTCATAACTTCAGTCATTCTGAAAGGCTGCTATTTTTTTATGAATTGATTTAATTTCCGCTGAGAAAAGCGGACAATTTAATTTGGGTTTTTGTGTGATAATATGATCGCATGTGACATTTTGAGATTCGACTGTCCTCAAGTTTAATCAACGAGTTTTTAACTTACTCCTAGACTAATGTTGTTAAAAGAAATGCCAAATAAAAATGAAATGAGTAAATTTGTAGAAATATCTCTATATTTATGTATCAGCATATTTTGGCAATGATGTTGGTAAGCATTTGAAAGTTGAATCATTAGGTTTGTATTGCTTTTTATAAACCCTTTTAGTATGCTCTTGTAACACCGGAAAATATTCCTCTTTACCACAAAGAGCCAAGTTATATCCAAGTAATTCCCTCCAAAATCCCTGACTAAGACTTGACAGTGATATTTATTTGTATAGATCCTTATAAGTCCATTGACTATGATGGGTGTATATGATGGGATGTTATATCCAAACCCGATTGATTATCAAACCGGAAGTAAGAAAATTAGAATTGCTTGGAATTTAGCAATGATTAATATAGATATTTGATTTTGACCCTTTTACAAGGTCATCCAGAAAAAAATTATAACCGAAATAATATACTAAGTAAACAAATTAAATTTATTTATGAAGTCAATTTCGTCCTGGCAGTCTCATTTTTTGGATATACATTGTATGTAGACTCTTATATAAGTAATACAATACGTAGCCTGTCGAGTTATAAAAAATAAAGTAGGAATATATCAGATAACAGAGGAACTAAATGGATATCAGCAATCGCCTCGTGGGGGTAAGGCTAGAACTCTGTTTTGATAATCAATAGCAGGAATTCCTGGGAGATCATATTATATGACAGTTCCAGTCAATTTCTACTCTTCTTCGGTTACAAATGGTATATCAAATTGAATTGTGGCTCCCATGACAATACGGGGCAAAATCGGCCTGAAATAACATGGACGTAGGTCTGAACTTTCGCCTGAATTTCATGTTGTTTTATATTGGGTAGAATGTTGGGGAATATTCCAATTGATATCATTTTTACGTAATTTTGGTTTACACAAGGTATATAAAATTGATTTGTACTCCGAATTTGTAGCTCCAACGACATTACGGGGCAGAAGCGGGCCTTGATGTACCATGAACTAGTCTGACAGTTCTCCTGAACCTCAGATCGAGAATTTAAGTATTTGATAGATAAACATGTTATTTTCCTGAGGTGACTTCTATAAAGAACGCATCATGTTTGGTGTCTCGTTCGAGGCTAATAATGTTTCATGTCAAGTGTACAAAGAAATATTGCCAATATTATGTATTTTGTAGACATCGTCAAATACCTGAGTGGGCTTAAATAAACCACACCATAGATTCTGTGTCCCGGTCGAATTTGTTGGTGTTTAAAAAAGTATGTTGGCTAGGGCATATAAGGCATTCTAAAGTTACAATTGTTAGCTAAATTTCTTTTTCGAAACGTTCGTATAAGTAACAGTCTATCTTTGGTATTTGTTTAATTCTTGGATGTAATACGACCACCTCCAAATATATCTCACTTTTTGTCTCAATTAGTCACAAAAATCAGAAAAGTTGACTGACTCTTTCCATCGATTTGACTTCTATATTACTCTCGGTGGCATATATAATTTCATTTTAAAGTTTAAATTCCCGGTAGATTTGATTATCTCAGTATTGTAGTTTCACGTTTAACTCAAGCCGACAACCTCATATACTTGGTGTCACAAAGTTTTGTCGTCGTGAAAGTGATATATTTCAAACATTCACACTTTTACTGAATTGGCGAGAAGAAATTGCGAAGAGACGATATGGTTTCGGAAGGTGAAGATTTGAATAATTCGAAAGTCACATATTTCCTTTGTTTTTCCAACACTCATAGGTTTTCTTTTGTCAGACGGTCAGATCTTTTCTGCAAAATATCCTATGAATCGTATGAATTTTCTTAAACATCAATCCGAAGATTTTACTGAAACTGCGAAGGGTGGTTTGGCTTCGTCATGTGTTTAGAAGAAGTACTTTTTTCAGCTGTGTTTCTCAAACATTTAACATCTGATCGACATACACTATTCCCGTGTGAGGGAGAAGGAGGGATATATTATTATATTCTAGGGATATTTAAACTGCACAACCTGTTGAATGTAATACAATCTGATATCCCACTCACCCAGGCGTACCAATATTTCCCCCTTCATATTTCATCAAAATTAATATAAGAATATAACGAGGAGTAATAGAACAGATTTTTTGTAAAATAAAAATAAACAATATAATTTATTTACAAGCAATATATAAAGAAGATAACACGATAAAAATTACATTCTTTTAAACAGATATGTTAAATAATTAAGTAAATACCATTGAGAGTAGATTTACATACATAATAAGTAACAATGAAACGGCAATACTCTCAAGCAGTCAAACTTCGTTTCGACATTATATAAAATGCACCAAACGCAATGCACCAGCATGTGGCAAGTTTCAGACCAAAAGTAACATCTATCTAGCTATATATATAAAATTTTCCGACTGAATTACGGTCAATTTTGTTGGGTTTTGTTCTATCGATAACATTGTGCTTAACATAATAAATATCATTGGTATAAGAAAACTCTTATATAACGTCAAATCAAAGACCAGATATTCTGAATGAAACGATATAATCTATAATTATCTTCAACACAGGATCCAAGTCCTGCCAATCTCACTCGTCTTTATTGGAATGTTGAGGGGTTTACCTGGTCTTTTCGAAATGTCTCATAATTTTCATATATTATTGGTTGTCTATATGCCAAAATAGCTTCTGGATAACAGAGCAGAAAGTCGAAACATCAAAAATGATTCTCCTAAAAAGACCATCAGAAAGCAAGAACAAAGATGGTCTTAGCTCGTCCTGATAAGATTTTCAGAACATTATACTATGTTCGTCAGGGGATTAAGAATATCACAACTTATTTTTGAATCAATACACAGGACAATAATTTACAATATAATTTAAATATTTATTAAGAAAAAATTTGAGTTTGATTTTTTTTTATAACATATGTTATATACATATAGTCAGTCAACGATATCTATGAACAAATATGTTTCAAAGGCAACGCTCGAGCAGTTTCGACATCATCGGCTCGAGCAAATGGTGATCGTAAACTCTAATCTCTGTTGGCGTATGGAAGTCTGATGACATTCAGTTCCCCATTGTTACAGTCTACCCAGCTGTATCTGGAATGTTATGACAAGAGGTTTGTTATCCTTCTAAATAATTACTTTCTTTTTCTACTGTAGAGAGCGGGTTTCTAACACGAGTCTCAATTGACATTTGCTCTTCTCAAAATCGAGTTGACGACTCTAATATTACAAGACTATATATCTTGTGATATGCTTAGATATCGTTGACCGCTTGTACAATATCTTACAGAACACTAGGTACCCTCTAACACAAATCCAATCACTTGAGGCAATATTCAAAAACAAATCTGTGATACTCAGAAAGAAATCTTTGAATACAGAGACATAAGCCTTTCAAAACAATTTTTACAAACATAAAATATGGAGCTTAAAAAACGAGCAGAATAATTTTTAACGCAGTGGCACTCAAAAGTAAATTAAATTGACCCAATTGCTTTGTTCTTGTATTTCTCTAATTACTTTTCAGAAATACCCCAAATGACGGGACTTGTGTTTGAGAACCACATAAATTTATTTACATAATATATAATGCTATGTATATGATAAACAATGTCTAATGAATAAATAAAAATATAATATCGTAAGTCGAATGTCTTGGGTTTTCTTCAAGAAATTTATTAGTCTGCTCCCGTGTTATTATTAATTTATATAGTTTCAATTATTCTGAGTTAAACAAATTAATCTAAGAAAGTTGTAGTATTTCCGCTCTAATCTTTCTAAAGGTTGCCTCAGTGCAGGTCTGAAGCTGGACTTGATTGTTTGGAGGGTCAATAATATATCTGAAGCAATGTTGCAGTGATGGTATTTGTCGGGATTTTTTTCAGGGGAACAATCTATGTTTTCGGGAGAATACCTTGTCAGTACAGCCAGATCAATATAATATGCTGCTACTGATTTGGTTAAACCTATCACCCCTGCTTTAGTTGTACTGTATACAAAGCATCTCAACGTATCCGCAACAGTCAAAACACTTACTGATATCAACTGTTTATTATTACCCATAGGATACAGTCGTTGGTAATTCAGTGGCTCTCAGATTTTGCCAGTCAACCTTTGGCTCTTATCGTTCTCAAATTTCTTTTAACTCGTTTGCTTTGCTGTACTTATGTGTACCAATGATAATTCTTGGGTGAACAGCTGAACCACATGCGCCAAACTAGTCAACTAGCTCCTCGATTTTCTAAATTAATTATTAGAACCAAACTTTGAAGTGATTAACAAATGAGGGGAACGCAGAGCTGAATTAACTCACGCAATATATTGTTTGAGTTGAAAGAATTGACGATGCAAGATGACACAAGGGATGATGAATTAAAAGGCAATAGCTGCAAGATAGAAAGAAACACTGTTAACATATTCACAGTAACAAAAAAAAGTTTTGAGAAAAAACAATTTGAGAAAATGGAAATGTACACAAACAAACAACGCTTATATTCAAGATAAATCATATCCTGCTATCTTTACAAGATTACATGCCTATTTCTATGCTAAGTCATATAATAAATACTATACTGCCTACATTTCCTTTGCCTAAATATGTAAAACTGAGTCTAGAATCTGATAACTCAAAATTTGAAGAAAAAAAAACGTTCGCAGCAATAAGATAATATTGGAAAAGCTTGAAGCGAATTTCTATATAAGAAAGTAAGTAAATAAACGAAATAGTCTAACTATGAATTCCTTATACAGTTGAAATGTCATACTATTTGCCATAATTTTAACACATATATGAAAATTATGTATTCCTGCACATAAATTAAAGATAGCACTTAGAATTAGGAAGCACACATTAATTTTCTTCCGCTCTGGCTTAAAATTGTCGATTACATAGATATGATTTCACCAAACACAATACCGCCATTACTAACGACATCATTTCGCGCCATTAACATCAATTCTGACCAATCACAGTGACCGCTCCAGTTGGAGCCAGAACATTGACTCGTCCTGATTACGCTTTATCACCCTTTCAGATCTATCTGACCAGAAAAAGTGGATTATTTCACCATTATATTAATGAAGTTTAAACACGTCAAAACAAATGTCAAAGTTAATCCACTGAACTGTACATTCGAAACCGAATTCCGATTGTCGTAAACTGGTCTCGCTTCAGTGTCAATTTGAGCATTTGGTTCTTTAGGTTCTATGATAGTATAACGCACTTTTGGCGGAGCTGTCGTTCCATTACTAGCTTGTCTAGCACTTGTCGTTCTTGGTGCGAAAACCAAGTTACGACATAAATTATTTGGTGAATCATCAGGGACATCCATAATAGAAAATTGTGCTTCAAGACCTTCTGGGTCAGCAAATTCGTCTTCAAACACATAACAATCGGCCGATTTGATAACTTTGATTTTATTATCGATAGTGAAAACCCAACACAAATACTGTCCATAATCGCTTGGGGTTTTAGTTCTCGTAACGACAGCATGTGTTTTGTTGCCGAAATCAAATGATGCTAAACAATTATACTCCAGTGGATAAGGATCTACGGAACAATTCACTGGTTGGATATATATTTTATCCGAATCGCTGAAAGGACTGTAGTGTAGACAACCACCGCACATTTTACCCTCTTCAATGAACGAAACGCCATGATGGTACTTTGCCGGAAGTCCACATTTGACGGGATGGTACACGTCCGTGTTTATTAAGATTTTAGGTGGCCGTTCTTTAGCATAAAAGTTTGCATCGGGGTCTTTGAATTTATCTCTTTTACACAAATATTCCTTATCATTATTATTATTAGGCAGTGGCCAGTCGATTCGGTTACCTAACCTGTAAATCATAACTGAAGGCGCTATTTTTTCCAGATCCACGCATGCGTAACGAGGATAGCAACCATTATCAAATAATTCGAGTAAGATACGTTTGTCTGAATACTTCTCGCTTTCAATCTCGATACATTCAAACATTCCGAGTCTTTCGACGCCAAGAGAGTAATCTTTGACGGTCACATCTCGGCTTTGCTTCCTAGAACTCTCAACCCAATGTCCACGTAAGTGTTCTGGGAAGGTACATAATCCTAATTCACTTTCATATTCACAAGCCCCACACGTTTTGCTACAGTGTCGTTTGAAACCCGTCGAGCAGTATTGTTGGATTATCGAACAACCGTCAAGTTCATCAGCGCATATAGTTGAATAAATGACTCGCGACATCCGGAAGTGGAAATAATGTAACGCGTCCGTAAGATGTTCATTTGGATCACACACGAGATTGAGAAACAGGTGCGCCGTTCTAATATCTCCTAGCGCGTCCGATATCCTCAAACACCAAATATGTTTATGAACTTTAGAGTGTTGGAGAACAATGAAAGTGTGAATGCCTTCAGTCCAATGGGCAATACAATAAGCTCGCTGTTTAACCTCTCTGGGTAAATTAGCAGGAATACATTTCTCATCTCGAAAGTCAAACGTGATGCCTTCACCTGATTCACACTCGCTTTCCATACGCAGCAGAAGCATGGTGTCTCTACAGACCATGGTTTCATTAGGAAAGTACATATTGATATTGTACCCTCCGACAAATGGGCACACGATGCGTTCTTCCGGTGACTGAGCCATTTGAACGATTGGCCAATGATCCAAACCCATACCACTCTCGTCACACAGTTCTATAGAGCGTCGATCAGACGGTCTGGATACCTTGAGTTGAACGATGTTTTTACTCCTTTGTAAGAATTCCATACACATATATTTAGTTGGTTGGAGCTTTTCCTCGTGTGTGACCAAGTACTTGTTACCTTTCGTTTCCTCGATACACCGACGGGCATAGTTGCTATCATTCCCTCCCTTCAGCTGATTAATCTGCATATAGGTGTTTTTTACGTAAGCCACGAAGCGACCTTCACCGTAATCAGCTGCCCAAGGTTCATCACGTTGTAAGAACTCTGGAAAGCGACATGTGGCTAGGACTTCATTGGGAAAGAGGAAGAGGAAAATGAAGAAACAGAGATAGAAATATTGTTCTTGGAAACCTCTGATAATCATACTGTTCTCCTGAAAAGATACAAAATAATCAATGAAAAATTTTTTGGGGGGTTTTTAAAGGGATTATTTAGCCAAACTATCCAAAGGTTTTTAGAACAAAAATTATATTAGAACATTTCAGACTTTAATTCATATCTTTATTATCACTAAGCCATTACTGGACAATGGTAAGTTGAGGGGGCGAACGTCATATTTAATGCCAAAGTTCATGTTTATTGTTCAAACTAAAAGCTTTTTTCGCTGCATCAGTGAATTATTGCAGCAATCATAAATGGATGATAACCATGTACAAAGGACCTGATAATAAAAACTCAGTTTCCATACATTATTAACCATAATGTGCGAATTACGTGCATTAATGGCAGCTCAAACAGTGTGAGCTTTGACAATAACTTGAATGTCATATGCATTATACATTACTTTATCTACTGCTGCTAATTCCTTTATTCAGCTGATTAGCTAATTCAGTCCTGACATAGTGCCATTTAACAATATACCGATGTTGGTATTATCAAAGGTATCAAGAATTTCGATTTTATATTTTTTGTCCAAAAGCTGACAAAATAGTACAATAATAGGTTAAGTAATACCTAGATTACCTATAAGTACATTTTTTTTTATCTTATTCCAATCCAAGTGAAAATTGTGAAGGGTAACAGAAGATCACTACCAAGTAGATCACCTATCCCAACTTGAATGAAGTATTCGCTCCAGGCCTGTACATTTTGGAGAATCAGACCTTCGCCGAAATCAGAGTTAAGTGTAAGTAAACGTCATGTTTCTAAATGAGTTGTTGACTGCACAAGTCACAGAGTTGTTAAAGCTTTTCACATACTTCTCCTCTCACTATAACGGTACATTTAATGACATTTTCACATGTTTTGTCCTGATCTGAGCGGTACCTTTACACTCTCCAGTCTGGTCCTCGTCCTCGTCCAAATGTCACGTAGAATGTGAGACACAAACCTGTCAACCCCAGGATTTGAGATGACCATTAAGCTGATAAGAGTACATCGCTGTCTGTTCACAAAGCGAATCAAAATCGACAGATACAAATTGCATTCTAGGGGACAAAGTTGACAATACCGCATTAGCACACGTTCTTTGTCCAGTAAAAAGTAAACTGACATGAACTCATCAATACAATCCATAAGACAAGTCTATATTCTACACCAGTGCAAAAAGAATGCCATCCTCCGAACACCAAGAGACCATCGACAACGTCAAACTAATTAAGAGGAAAGAATGCATATAATTGCCTATAACATGGAACCTTCCGCTGGAAAACACACTAATCCTTCCTTCACTAGCTATCCATACAAGAAGTTTCACAATCTTTGAGACAGTAACGCCGCGGCCATGCTTTATTAGGACATTTCTATTTCTATTCTAAATTATTCTTAGGTATGTCTTACCTTTATTTGTTAATGGTTACAATCAACATCTGAACATTGTCCATATATCACATCATTCTAAGGGTTTCACGCAACAGGTGCTCGCCATGCTGGGATGTCAACAGTTCTACAATAACAAAACAAACTTCTATTTAGTTAAAGTATTGATTGAATTGTAATTACAGTGTGATTCCTTTTATCTACTAATGCAATTAGAAATTCAGATAATCCGATACATCTGATTAACAATTTGATACATCTAATATAAACACGCTCTTGCATATACTTTGCCCATTATAAAACATTTTGCCAATGATTCAGCACACAAGACATGCGTTCAGTTGGCAAAACGTTGTTAGTGATTTGTTTACTGGAGGAACCATACTGTTATAACGTTTGGAACCGTGAATTGCCATCTCAATTCGCGAGGTTAGTTTTATAGAAAAGAAACTAACCACCAAATGAAGAGCAAGCGAACAGTTTTGAAAAACTAAAAAACCTTGAACATAATAACTACACGTACAGCAGCTTTAACACACGAAACATTGTATGACGGAATTGTTTCGCACCAATTTTCGCCCTGTAAAAGAGTACCCGCTCACCAATATGCCATGGTTCTTTAACCCCTATTAGCTATATCTGCTTAAAAGTGTCTCTAATAGTTGTCTAATTGCAAATTGAATTGAATGTTGATTGATTAGCCCACTGACTGCATTATCGTAGGGGTTTAGGACATTGCTCCTGCATTAAATAGAATTTCGGATTACTCTTGATGTACGTTTTGTAAGAATCTTTAATTTGCTGCTCGTACACACCTAGATCCTGTCGCTGAATTAATTCCTTTTACTATTCCATTTGTTCAGTTATTTTTAACGAGTCGGTAGAAACATTTCGATCATAAATAATTAATCCTGAATTTATTCCCTGGATGACGGCGCCACCTAAGTTGAGTACGACTTGTTTTAGAAATTTGTAAACAATAAACAATTACAACTGTTTATCCTCGAATGTGTCCATTGTCCTTTGGTTAGATAATAAGTAGGAGTGTTTGTTGTGGTACTCAATGTCCGCATTTTGTATTTTTAATATTCCATTAACTTATGATATTGTGCTTAATAAATGAGCTCTTTGTAAATTTTAAGCGTGACGACCACTATCCTTAGCCCTATTAACATACTTACCTGGTGCTAAATACTGCGATAATTGTATCCTTATCAAATGCTTTCACTGCCAAGGGTTCGCTTATTTAGAAACAAACCATTCCAGTTAGTGCGGAATTTGAAGCAGACCAAGTAACTCACGTCACACAACCAAAGACCAAGTTCCACCGCCATATCATCTGACCCAACTAGATCCGAAGATATCTCAACTACCAAACCATTCAATTAATTCTAATACGAACCACCACGATTACCACCAACTACCTAGTATGCGATATCAGTTTACTCGTCTTCTACTCATTTCTATGGACAGCCAAATTACCAAAGTCTAAAAATTACGGACAGCCAGATTGTTTTGGACAAGGACAAGTGTTTTTCTATGTCAGATTAAATGACCTGTGTATTTCCAAATGTCGACGGGACGTTAATCTGCACAAGTTGTAGCTCACAGAGCATCACATCCTTCCGACCTAGGTCACAGACAGGGGAAACTAGATGTAGAACGTGTTAAAAACAGTAATCAGAAGCATGTAATCTTACTCAATAGAGTATTAAGGAAGAATAAGCTGTCTTATCAATATTTAAAATCACTATAAGAATATCTGAAACAGTCTCAGTGAGTTGAACTACTCAGTCTTGTTAATGCGTTTACCATTGTTTTATTGAATTATCACCAATCTTTAGGTCAAGGCTGGTTTTTGCTTGCTCATCATCGATTTGCCCAACTCCGAAATCGATGGGACAATTCATTTCTTTAATATGAACAAACAGTGAATTTATTTGAGTTTCTAGTAAAAGTGCTATGAGACGAAACGCCTACAGTATGATCGTCGTTTGAATGATACTGCCTCTTTCTTTCGGCTGTTTACTCATTTAGTTAAAAAGCAATCTGTTCATAATTGTCTTGACTAACTGAGAGGTCATTTAACTGAAGGTTAGGGCGCTAAAGTCAGAAGTACTATTAAAGTATTACGAATGTACTAATTCACTTGGTATATTTGGAAATATACATCATAATAATCCATATGCCAAATATCTGGACGAAACCCTCCAAGAATATAATGATACAATTTCAAATCGCCTACTTCTATACGAGAAGTATTAACAAAACTCTCAGTAAATCCTTCTGATCGAGTTATTATAAATCACTTTAATTACAGTACATATCAGAGACCTACTGGTAACGTTAACGTTCAATTGTCATCTACCAACCAACAAACAAAGAGGTTGCTAAGCCCTTCAGGTGCTTAGATGTGCACTTGTACCTAAAATCCTAGAATAAGGATTGGCATCATAAGAAGAAGTTTTACTCATCCAATACATTAATTGACTGACATCAAGGACTTTAAGTCTCTGCATAATATGTTCAATGAATCTAGAGTTATTCAGTGCAAAGTGGGTTTAGACAGGGTTAAAACTCAAGAGTTAATGTAACGATTGAAGAAGTAAGGAATGAGGAACAATGGCAAGATAACTGAGTGCATCTATTATTAACAGTAAATAATCTAGTTAAATAGACAGAGAACTTCACTTGGTGTAAAATACATTACACTATATTTTATTCATTTCCTATCATCCAGCACTGTCATTAAAGAGAATTGTCCCAATTGGGAAGTCCCGACTACTAGCAACTACGACCAACTGGATTGTCGTAATCTCATGTTGATTTTTAGATTGTTTATTTAGTAGAAAATGGAACACGAACAACTACGATAGGTCAACTAAATCTGTCTCTAAAGAGATATCCTTGATCACTCCTTAAAGTATCATTCGGGACGAACACTGGATTAAAATTTGGAAGGGTACATTTCCACAGGTTAGCTTGTAAATTGTATTTAACAATGGTAGCGAAGCATATATATATGGAAAGCTAGGGTACAAATTAAGTTCTTCTTCTTTCTAGCCGCAGACAACATTTCCATATAAGCCAAGTTCTGGAATTTAATGTCATCATGGAATGTGCATGAAATTTCGGTATTTCCTTTGATACTTTTATGAAAAATGCTTTTCAAAATCAGGCCTATGTTTACCGCATGTAAATAATGTAAACTCATAAATATGCATCTTTAAAGAGTAAACAATGTTATCTCAAAGATAATATCTCATTCAATAATTATTCATACAAGAGATAATTATTAAATAACATAATTATACAAATAATAGATAGTAAACACTAATAGATGTTTCACAGTGATTGGCGACACATTCACGATTGTATTAACAAACGAATAATCGTATATATTATATATTACTAGCATCACATCGTCTAAATACTTGAATAAATATATCTATTGTAACCTGTGCTATACAATAACAAAATACTTTTACTGTTAAAATAGTGCTTAATACATCAATTTTAGAGAGATATAGAAATACTACTGTTAAAATAGTGCTCAATACATCAATTTTAGAGAGATATAGAAATACCACTATTAAAATAGTGCCC